ATGGCACGATCGTCGTGGCGGGGCTTCCCGCGCTGTCCCGGATGAGCTTCTGCAGCTGACCCTTCGTCGGCGAAGCCGGGATGACCAACTTCATCTCCTCGCAGGTCTGCTTCAGCTGCAACAATGTCATTGATGCAAGTCCTTTCGGGACGTGGTCCACACCCTCGATCTCCTTGAGCTTGTCCACCACGGTCTGCCTGATCTCCCCAACGCTCCAGCTCGGATGGACAAGACAGCCCAGCCCGTTGGCTTTGTCGAGAAGTTCGGCCTTGTTCATCTTCCACACTCCCGTGGACTTCTGGGACGACATGCTCACCAACGGAGGGGTTCGAAGGCAAGGGGATTCTCGCAGGAGCTGCACTTCGAGAAAAGACTGTACGGCCAACCCACAACGTCGGATATCCTGAACCCGACTCATGTTGCCACATGTCATGGACATTCTGCAACGGATGGTGCGATTGACAACTAATGCCGTTGGTGCTTCTCACGGGACCGATCGCATCCAGGAGACGCTGCTTGGTATCCGATTGAGCAGTGACCCAATCAGCTGGATTGAACAAACCCTTTCGTGGGACAATGTGAACCCTGATCAACTGCATTTTGTTCTCAATCCAAAAATCCTTCGAAAGCTTAGTTTGAGACCACCACGATGCAAAGATCTCTGAGTTCATAGGCTCCGCGCTTAAGAAGTTCTCGACGAAGGCGTGGATCTTCTTGGGATAGAATATGCGATAGTCTCGTGGGAGCGGAAGTCGATCGTTACCTGAGGATGGTTCATTTCCAACTTCGGGTACTTCAGGGCTCGCAATTGCGCTCGACTCCGAAAGCAATCCCTGCATCGAGGATGTCATGTGAACTGTGTATCCTGACGTGGACTCTGGCGCGATGTAAAGCTCACCTGTGGCCCACTGGTCGGGCGTCGGGAAACGGAGGCCTATGACTTCATGCGGTTTCACTCGGATGGCTGGATGTCCTGATTCGGTGCTGTGGAGGCTGTAATCCTGGATGTTCAGGTGTTTGAAGTTCGCCCGGCCCTCCTCAACATCATAGACCATCCCCAGTCCGCTCAGAACAGATTTGCTCAATAGGAGTGGAACCTCGCCCTGCACGATTGAAGCCCGAACCAGAAAGTATTTCCCCGCAAGCCCGATCATGATGGTCGCCGTAAAGGTAGCCCGAAACAATCTCGATGCCCCGAAACGGAAATCGTCCTGGGTGTCGATGAACTGGACCTCGACACCTGCCGCCCTTGCAACCTTCAGGTACTCGTTGAGCCAGGCTTGGCCCGCGACTGATTTGCTGCAAGCAGTATCGGTAATTGCAAGAAGTTGCCCACCTGGTTCAACCCCAACCTCAAAAGCGACCTGAACGACCCCGGATGCAGTGGTGTCAACGGCCTCGGTCACATGCACATTCTTGGGGCCAGAAGTGCTTGCAGGCTGTTGGACATTCTTATTCAGGGGACATTCTGCATCCTTGTGCCAGTGCCCGCGTCTGTGGCAACCGGAACAAAAGCTGCGCTGCTTGGCTGCTTTGAGGCGTTGTTCAACTGTGAGTCTCAAGGCATCTTCTGAAACACCCTTCTGATCATTGCGATTCCCAAGCACAGCAGGATCAACTCCTCGGGCCTTTGCAACATCACGATAGCGTTGCTTTGCTGTCTCTTGTGCAACGAATGCTTCATGAATCTCCTGGGCGGTCTCTTCACACATCACCTCGCCACCCTGATCATCACCCCCTGCAACCTCAGCCTCGTTGTCATCCTCATCGACCCCGGTCATGTAGGCGCCACGAACTGGGATGGGCTTTCCTGTCTTAGGGTCGATCTTCCTAGGCTGCCAAGGGGTCCGTAGGGATCGTTCATGAAGCACTGCAGCCCGCTGAAGCCGTACTGTGTTGTACTCGTTACCAACCGAAGCCAGCAAGGACAACTCTTCTGTGCTCGAAAGTCCCAGGGAACTCATATAAGCCCATGCCTTTGCCACCTCAGGTAACTTGCATCCGATCTCGAGTAACCGACTATGAGCTCTATCAAAAGAAGCATTGAATTCGCGAACTGTCTGGTTCGGTTGTCTCCGGAGCCGGCGGAAGAATGTAGTGAGAGTCTCGGCAATCTTACTCACCTCAATCTCCTGGTACCGCTCTTGAATCCAGTCGCGAAAGATCTGCAAACCGTCGGGGCCCGCAAGAGCTTCAACTGATAACTCCTCACTCTCGACCCATGCCCTTCCTGAAAGGTGTTGATAAAGAAGTAATGCCTGTTGATGCCGTGGGGTTCTGGTGACTTTAGACCAAGCATCTATCTGCCGAAGATATGATCTCGCTCCCTGGCCTAATGTATCCCCTGTTCCTTCAGCATCAAAAGTCGGCACAGACATCTTCTCTCCGAACGATGGGCCTTTGCCGTCCTCGGGACGGCTGGTCATTGCATCACGATCTGACCCCGGAGTCCTCGTAGTCGAAGTACCCTCGGACTCCACACGTTGTCGAGGCTCATCGTGGCCTGCTTCTCCATGATCATCATGCTCGCTTGTCGATGTCTGCTCCGGTGTCCTTGTCGCACCGTCCGATGAGTTGTTCGAGCGGAGCTCTCCGCCCTCGTCAGAGCCATGTTGCTCCGAGCCATGGCCAAAATGGCCCGATGTCGCTCCATTTCCCCAGGAGCGGTCGTAGTAGCGCGGCTGATGCCAACCTCCAGTCCCCCACGAAGACCAAGGTCCCCAATAGGACTGTCCCCAGGCATCTCCCCAAGAAGAATTGTGACTATAATCAGTCCAAGACCAACTGTTCGAAGCATCCCATCTCTGACCCCAAGTACTCGCAGTATCCGGTTGACCTCCCTGGGGAGGGCTGTTCGCTGCACCGTCGACAGGAGTAGTATTGTTCGCCACTGGCGGGGTAGAAGCACTGTTATCAGCAGGTTCGCCAGCGGTGGGCTGATTCTGACTCTGTTGGGACGCCCAACCAGCCCAGGGATCAGAAGTGCCATGAACGCCCATGGCGGCAAAGACAACTACGAGGCAGGGGGGTCACAACCACCCGAAAACCACCACCCGAAGAACCACAAGAGCCCACGAGGACCACGAGGAACAGACACGAGACAACCACTACCCCAGGACCGCGGCCTGGGCTCCGCTACCAATAACAAACCAAGAGGTAACCACCCACACAAAACCACAAGACCAAGACCCCCGCCCCTCTCGCCTCCGCAGAGGGAGCTGCACGCGCTTTTGCGTCACTCGAACCATCAGCCTGCGGTCGGACCGCAGCGTCTTTCGCCTTCAGAGGCGAGCTTGGTTTGACACTAAGCCTCAGTATAAACCGCAATGAGCATATAATTAGCCCCAAACCTAAATTCCAAACTAAGCCCTGTACACCAAGCCCCGTGATATGTCGGAACCTGATGAGGAACACTGGCCCTATGACCCCGAAATATTAGGATTTGTATATAGAACCCCAATAAGGACCCTGGGTTTCTTAATCAGCTTGCTATGTTTCTCTCTTTCGCCCCAGGTTCGGTGGTCCAGGCCTCTCGGAGAAAGTCTGAACTTTGGGGCATTTTTGGTGTTGGAAATAGGTTTGGGATTGCGGGCTCCTTCTAGATTCTACTTTGCCGACCAAAGGACTTACAATATGAGTTCCTTGCATGCGCTTATCAAACCAGGAGCATCAGCAACCTGAAAAGCAGGCGTTCCTCCTCGTCGGAGCGTATTCCAGGGTTTAGGGCTTAGGGTCCTGACTCACCCCTATCTCGGTCATCGAAATCGTATCTCGTGATTGAGCTGTAATGTTGCCTAGCCGGGGTCGACACTTAAGAGCAAAGGTGGTTTCGGAATCTAAGCAGCAATTCTGCCGATCTCCACTCGGAAGTGCTGTTCGATTCCATGGCCTGGCTGAGGAGTCCAAAGCGCAGTAGAGGACATAACCTGGTTTACAACCTCTGGGTGTCCCTTGCCACTGCCGGTGCCTCGATGAGCCTTTCCCCGCAAGCCCGAAGACTTATAGGATCTCAGGCTCAGAGTGTCCGATGTCATGGAGCCAGGCTAACTTGCTAAACTTTAAACCCATGTTGGCTGTCAACTCAGCTTTTCAACTTTTGGGGTTCTTGTTATAAGGTAGTCGAATTCTGAAAGTTTCAACTTTTATTTCCTTGGGTTGTGGGCCAGTGAGAACCCTAAACACTGGAAAGGGTTAGGGTTTAGGGTAAACACTGGAATGGTTTAGGGTTCAGGGCTTACGGCCTAAACCCGAACTCCGCAGCCCAAAACCCCGAAGCTGCAGATTTCGAAGCTTGCCAGGGCCTCTTTGCAGCTTTGCAAGACCTGGGGGAAGACCGTTTGGCCGTGGCAAGCGAGAGAGCTGTAAAATCTGAACGAGAGAGGGGCTTTGGGGAGGGGTGCTGATGACTGAGGATTACTGTATAAGGTCATTGTTCAAGGGCTTGCAGTGGGTCGAGGGCTTCTCTTGCAAGGCTCGTGAGTGGATTGCATGCGAGCGGACAGACGACTGAAAGTTTTGAGGCGGGCTTTGTAGAAGGTGGGAACTTTGTGCAATATCATTGCACATAAACGTTGACTCCCAACCTCCAAACCTGACAGCAAACCCTACCTTCAGCTGTACCGTTTTTGCAGGGTCCATGAAATTCTCTACTAGGGCTTATACAGCCTCCCAAAGCCCAAGTGCCCCCTTTGGGGACCCGTTCTCGCTCCCCATGCCGCGCTGCCTTTGGCTAAAGGCCACGGAGACGAGAGGAAGCCAGCTACAGGGCATCGGGCATGCCCCTTGCTGAACTAGTTCCACAGGCTTATGGGCCATCGTCCGTGGATAGGAGCAACATGAGACCTTGTAGCAACTTGCCCGAGCATTACAGCCTCCTGATCGCAATTAGCTGGCTGCAATATCCGCTAAGACCTCTCAGCAAGCAGACGACATTGCCTGGCAGGAGATGTCAGCTTCGCATTCCCCATAGTTTGCATGCTGAATCCTTAGTTTCCACCGGAATGGATGACTTCATGGAGAATTATCGCCAACGAGAGAGAAGGTTCTCCGATCCGCATCTGCGCAATCGAGCCTTGGCAGGAGAAGAAGAGAGCTTGGATGAGTGGGCTGCTCGACTGTGGCATCGGATCGACCGCGACAGAAACGGTTTCATCACTAGCAAAGAGCTGGACTGTCAAGAGTTCCACAACATCCTTCGTGCTGCCGTCGCTCCCGTGACCGGCACCTCGACCGGTGGCGCCACCTATGCACGGAAGCAGGTGAACATCGAGGCTGCTATTCAGCTGTGCCTTCGTAAGGCGGACTTGAACAGCGACGCAATCCTTTCCTACCGTGAGTTCCGGTCGTTGATGCGATGCCTACGCAGACCCAAAATGGCACGCCACACTGCCAATCTGGCCTTTGCGCTCTTCGACTTGGATGGGAACGGCTACATAGGGCGAGATGAGTTCCACGACTCTTGCCTGCAAATCGAAACCGCTGTCCTGGGCTCTTGTTATCCAGAAGGAGTTTGAACCATGACACCCCAGGTCTTATGAGAACTGAAGTTAGTGTGCTCTGAAACTCTCGCCAATCTTTCTCCCGACTCTATGAACCGGCCCTTTCCCCCCTTAAGGAACTTTTTGGCTTCCTGCTTGGCCGCAACCCTCGCACAGTGGAGTTCGAGCCGCTTCGACTGCAGCTATAACCCAAGGGTCTTCCAGTGCCTTTTTAGGGTTTAGGGGCTTTTAGGGTTTAGGGGTTCTGGGTTTAGTTTGGATTGTGATTTGGCTGGTTTAGACTTCCGGATGATGTTCCATTGCGTTTTGCGGCTATCCCACCATGACTCAGCGACCGTGCTGGCAGCAAGGTGGAGCATGATCCGGGTTCTGATGCATCGGACTCCGGCTTCGTTCCTTGAAGTGCCTCGTTTAGGGGTCTGTGTACTGAGAAGTAGTTTTCCTCAGCTCAGGTTGCTCTGAGATAGTCTACACGACTAGTTGTCCGTAGGGTTCCCTCCCGTAGCCTGTGTCTAGCTACTCGGGACTCGGGCCCCTCCGAAATCTGTCGGGCAAAGGATACTGTGCCCCAGAGTTTCTAGCAGTCATACGTCGCATGAAACCATGGTTTGATTGCAAAGGCCCAGATTCAAACAACCTGACCCCTCGAACGGCAAATCAGGCCCGAAGCTACAAGCAACTGCAACACGAAAATGAAAACATTTAGAGCAAACAAGAATAGGCTATCATGGACCCCAGCAAACTATAAAGGGAACTCCAGAAAGTTGGAATATGGATTAATGGTAGGATCCCCTATAGTTTACCCTAAAGGGGTTACGATACTACTGTAATGAGCTACAAAGAGCTTCTGGGGGCCCAGGGATGAGTGGGACCGACTGGTAGCTCCAGCTGCCGGGTCTGCAAACCAAGCGGAGTACGTCGACCAACGCGCTGCTGGCGGAAGTTTGGGTCCTTTGGGGCATAGGTTTTAGGGCTTTAGTGGTTTAGGGTTTAGGGTTCTAGGACTTGGTTTGGGATCCGGGGCTTATTTGTGGCATGGAAGGAATTTAGCCTGAGCCCTAAGGCCAACAGCCCTATCCAGAAAGCCTATACGCTAAACCCACAAGCATCCAAAAGCCTTAAACCCCTAGACCCGCTGAGGAGTTCTTGGTTTAGGGTTTTGGGTTTGTTGTTTGGAGCCCAGGGCTTCGGAAGATGGTCTTTCTTGCGCCGGCTGAGGGCTTGCATTTCAGCATGTGGGCTGGTATCTTGATTTGGATATCGGCAGAAGGCCACAAGGCTAAAATCCAAAGTACCAAAAGCTTCGCCGTTTCAGACTCCATGTATATGTAATGCATAACGGACGTCTGTACCACAACCACAAACCTTCATTCGTAGCTGCACAGCAGTCATCAAACGACGGTTTGGAATTACTGAGGCCCCGACCACGAAACCAGCACATCCCCAGCAGCATGACGGCCTTGTGCTTAAATCACAGTTCCACCGTTTAAGGCTCCTGTGTTAATGTAGGAACCTGATTAAGAAACCTTGGGCCTTTATTAGGGTTCCTTATATGAATCCTACTATTTGGGGTTATATTCCCAGTGTTTCTTAATCAGGTTCCTACACTATGCCAGGTACGTACATCCGTTGGCTGCAATCGTCAGACGACCCGAAGATCCGCCAGCAAGCGCCCGCCACTTCTCAACAACAGGAATTGACATTCACATTGCTTAGGACTTTAGGCCGTAGGCCTTCATCAGGATAACGACGCTATCCTTTCTGAGTCTGAAAGTGCAAAGTAAACTGTAAGCTTTCCCACCCCCGATTGCCCGAACGCAGCTCTGCAGCGACCAGCACAGTTGGAGATCGCTCTTCCCTAGACCTCCAGTTACTTAAATAGTAGGTTACTAACTAGATATTATATACCCCAGTAACCTACCATTGAAATGAAGAGATTGCAGGACTCCCGCGGGTTGAGCTACGAGTTTAAGGCACTTCTAAAGCTGAGCCCCTTGCCCCGTTGACCGTAAAGTCCTGCATCCACCCTAAACCCCTAAACCCGAAAGTGTGAAGCCTAAACCCCTGAACCGAAAGCCCCTAAACCCAAAACTCTGAAGCTCAGGATTGTGCTGCTAACCAGGCTGCTCCCCCCTGCAGCCTCCCTGGCAGCCCATCCAGCTTCGGCCACTTGCAAGAGCGGTTTAGGGTTTAGTAAGGGGTTCAGGGTTTAGCAGTTTAGGAATTAGGGTCAACAGAATTAGGGTCCTTGTCATTCTCGGTGCAGCACGGTGGAGGCCATCAGCCTACAGTCGGACTCTCAAACCGAAGTGAGTCTCTCGCTTTTGCCCCTTGTTCTAGGCCTCAAGTTTCCTTTCTTGTTGCGTTTCGGGATGGGAGCAGGATGACTTACTGGGATGCGGCGGCTTGAACCCTAAACCCTCGACCCAAGCCCGAAACCATTTTCCTCACATACCAAACCCTAAACCCTAAACTTAAATCGCGCCAAGGAACCATGACTGTGGATTTGTCTGCAACTTTTCCAAGACCGTCCACGCAATCTCGGCCGAAATGGAATCAGCGCTTCAACTGCCACTTCTTGGCAAGGGGTTTCCAGGGTTGGGGTTCATAGGTGCTACTGTAAGGAAGGTGATTACAGGCTAATAAATGTTCCTTGAATGCTGTCTGCCGGCAAGGCTTTGAAAAAGCTTACGGTTGTGATTAGGAAGCTGTCGGAATGCTTGGGTTGAGGGTGGGGGGTCAATGGACGGAAAGCTGGGTTGCCTTGAATGTTGGGATTTTTTGGTTCAGGAACACCATAACCAACTGGGCTAGAACAGAAGACTGAAACCCCAGACCCAGACGCCGAACCGGACAATTCTCATCCGAGAACCCGAAACCCCAATCCCTACACCGTAATCCCGATAATGTCGAAATCGCGGTATGCCAAATTCTGATGTCCATAACCTTGAGTTCGAACAAGCGTTGACGACAGAGTGCCTGGAAGGGTTCCTTTCAGACTTCCTGTAATGTCTAAGGGCCCCCTCACAGTGCCTATAACGGTTCCCACAAGCGTTCCTTATAATTCAAGTTCCGATAATTCCCGAAATGGGGTGCGACAAGGTTTATATATAGGAGTTTAAGAGCTGAGCCAAGTGGACAAGATGTACTGTAAGACTAAAGAGATTTCAGCCGGAAACGCCCTGAACAGAACGCCAAATTCAAAGACCCGTTTGCAAATGTCACAAAACAACACAAAGACTGTGTGGATGTTGACGCGAAAGTCTGAACCCGAAGACCTGCGAAGGCCCCACAGCTCCTAACCGTTACTTTTAATTTAACAAAACAAAATCCGACATTGATCACATCTCAGCGTGAAAAGCACATCAAACATAAATCGTACCAATTCAACAAATCTGGCCGTGTAGCATCTGTAACCTGAAACCCTCGAAATAAGCTCGAACCCATAGACCCTTGCAAGCTTGAAAGCTTGAGCCGCTCGCAGACTCGTTCCGGTTGCAAGCACCTTTCGGTCCGAGCTGAGTGGAAAAAGGCAGGACCTCCGCGGTGCAGCGCCAGGGTGTGCTACCTCGTTTGCATGGTAGCGGAGCCTCTCAAGACCAGAGGGTCTGAGGGGTTCGTGTGAGAAGTGCAAAGGAGCCAGAGCGATCCAGGGGAATCTTTCTGGAGCCAGAATGTCGGAGCTGCGATACACCAAGGATGGGGTTCCGATATATGATGGGTCTCCAGAGTTGTATGTCGGCTACAAGCGTGCAGCTTTGGTGTATGCTGAGACGGTGGAATGGAAGAAGAGGACATTAGTGGGTCCCAGGTTGCAGGCAGCGTTGGAAGGCAGCGCAAAGTTGTCTGTAGAACACATGCCGCCAGGATGGGTTTCTCATGAGAAAGGTGCTGGACAGCTGCTGGAGTACCTGAAACTTCAGGTGAGAGCGCCCACACTGGCGGAGGCTGGACGTACGATGTCAAGATTCTTCTACGGGATCAAACGCCGTCGTGGTGAAGGCATGGCTGCGTGGATAGTTCGACATGACGAGGCACTTTTGGAGGCAAAGCGCACCTTGGCAGAGGCCATTCATGAGTACGGGTCCACGACCACAGCAGGATCCTATGGCCAGACGAGCGGATGGTCCAACCGGAGTCGTCCACCTTCGGAGCTCGGAGGCAGCCGGAGTGGCGAAGTGCCACCCCCGCCAGGGGACACTGCTCCTGACGAGTCACCGGGCAGTGCCTACGAGACCAATGAGGAGGCCGGGGATGCCGATGAGGAGGATCGCTGGACAGATCACTGGTGGTGGTCTTCCAGCCCGTGGCAGTATGGCTGGGATGCAGGATCCCAGTATGGATCCAGCTGGGACCAGTGGCGGCAGAAAGAGACCATGAGTCAGAAGACGTGGGAGGTTTCTGAAGCTGCCTCAGCCCAAGCTGAGAAATTTCTGCCAGACTTTGTCATAGCATGGTTGCTGTTGCAGAGGTCAGGTTTGGATTCCACAGAGAAGAGCGTGATCGTGGCTAATCTGAAAAACCAGTTTCGAACCGATCGCGTGAAGGAGTCCTTGAAGCTGACCTGGCCTGACGAAGAACTGCGACGCCGTGACTCCCAGAAACATTCAGCTATGTTTACCACTGAGGAGTCAGCCATGCTTGCCGAGGACGAGGAGGTTCCCGAGGAGCCACCCACGTCCTGGGATGATCCAGCAGATGACTACGCCTACCAGGCCTTGGAGAGTGAGGCCCAAGAAGCTTACGCCGCCATCCAAGATGGCCGCCGCACCCTTCGCGAAGCCAGAGAGAAACAAGCAATGATGAGGAAGAACCGGAATTTCTACTCTGGAAAAGGGAGTGGCAAGGGCTTTGGGGGCTATAGCTCAGGATCATCGAGCTCACGGCCACCTCTAAAGTGCTTCAGTTGTGGCGGTCCACACCTGAGGCGTGACTGTCCTAAGCAGGCAGACCCCAAGGGCGATGATCAGGCCGCTCACTTGGTGTTCACAGCGACCCAAGTGACCACCTCAACCGCAGCTGTCGAGCCAACGTGGCACGAGGAAACAGTCCTGGCCGCTCAGTCCACTGATGACCAGGCACTCCTCGCGCTGGACCAGATCATCAAGGAGGGCAAGGCTATTGTCGATGGTGGAGCCACCAGCAATCTTGGCTCCGAGGATGCCATTCAACAGCTGGCAGCTCTCAACTGGCAGAAGGAAGGTGATGATGGTCTGGAAATTCTTCCAGGCGAGGCACCCTCTTTCCGGTTTGGGAACAATGGTCGTCATGAATGCCTCTCGACCGCCATGCTCAACATGCGTTTGGGCGGTGATATCGGGCGCATGAAGATCCACTTGCACGATATCCCGGGCCAACCAGTGCTGTTGAGCATTAAAGGCCTCAAGGCTTTGGGCGCCGTGATCGACTTCGGCACCAATGAGGCCATCTTCAAGAATGTCGACGCTCGGAAGGTCACGACTTTGGAGACGACACCTAGCGGTCACCAGCTTTTCCCGTTGGCTGGAGATGTTCTTCAGAATGCATATGAGCGAACAGCACCGTTTCGAGGTCTGAAGAACGAGCCACAGACCGCAGGCTCAAGGGCCGACGAGTAGGGACAGCGCCTTCTGGTGGCATTTGGCGCCACGGATCACCAGAAGGAAAAAGAGACTGAAGCGCCAGGCAGTTTGTACAGCACGGATTCTTTTTGCCAGCAAGCGGTGAGTAGTGTTTATGTTTCCTATCCTAGTCAATCTGTCAGTGAAGATTTGGGATCTACACAATTGTGTCATACTGTCACGACTCGATCAAAGCATCTCATAGAGACTGAAGCCAAAGCCCTTTGGAAGCAATCTAGCAAGCCTGAAACCATTGCTCGCTTCCTGCAAGAAGTCCCGTGGCATGAGTTTGACCACCATTCCCAGAGCAGGAACTTTTCTCGTGAGCCTCAAGCCGGAAGCACCCTGAAACCTGCCTATGTGGTGTTTGGAAGTTTCATGCATGGAGGAGTGGTAGGAGTGACTCGGGCGACACGTGACTTTCCCTATCTGACACGTCTTGTGATTAGGCACATGAAAAACCAAAGACCTGCGTTTCGTGGAACGTCAGTGTGTGTGTCGTGCAACGTGCAGTCCCCTCCCCACCGAGATTCCTACAATTTAGAAAGCACTGAGAACATCGTGATACCCTTGGTGATGCCGGCGAGTGGTGGTGAGGTTTGGACCCAATGTGATGGTGATGAAGGAGACGAAGACCCACAGATTCAGGTGGTGCAGTGTGGTAGTCAGTCGATACCTGGTAAACTGCAGTCCCTTAGGCATGGCGTAGTTGTGTGTCCTCAGAAGTGGCATGCCACGGCACCTTGGACAGGGAATCGAGTGGTGTTAATCGGGTATTCGATAGGGGGTTTTAGGAAGTTACAACCACGAGACAAGCAAGTCCTGAGATCCCACGGAATGCCTCTTCCCATCTCTCCTGCCAGGACAACCGCGACTCCCGCGTCGCCGTGTAAGCCGCCCAAGACTTCTGTAGGTTCCCAAGCCTCCACAGGACCGTGTAACCACGCCAATCATGCCCGCATCCAGCGTGACGAAGAAGGACATGCAGGATCGCCTCCGGGAGCAGGGCGAGAATCCGCCTACGTCCTGGACCAAAGTGCAGCTGTCAGCACGCTTGGCGGAGTTGGCAGCCGAGGCGGGGCCAGCCTCAACATCAACGACCGAGCGCGATGTAGTGAAGAAGATCAACCAGTGCAAGCGGAAGGCAGATCTGCAAGACTTGCTGAGACAGAACCAGGTGGAGTTCACGACTTCCCAGACGATGGACATTCTCAAGAGCAAGATCTACCGTCACTTAATGGAGACGGAGGTGACCCCAACGGGCAAGGAGAACATGGGCTTCGGGAAGCATGCGGAGATGACCTTCGAACAGGTGTTGGTGGAGAAGCCCGAGTACACCAAGTGGTGTGTGAGCACAGCAGTGGAGAATCCAGAGAGTTACTGGCGCCTGCTTCGATTTGCGCGGTGGGCACAGGGGATCTCCAAGACGGAGAAAGAAGGAATGCGAGTTCGACTGGGAAGCTCATGGTCAACAGCTTATCCGGCGAAGGCAACCATGCCACAGCGAACAGTGGCTCCCAGCGGGGCGTCCGGTTCAGAGGCATCCTGGGATTTGGCACATCCTCCCAGTCACGATCTGGAGATGGTTCCAGACCAGGCCATGAATCGGATCAAGGAGCTCGAGGAGGAATTGATCCGCCTTCGTCAGGAGATGATCAACCGCGAGACTCTGACCCACAAGACTCCCGACCAGCAGAAGTCAAGGGCCACCAGTCCCCCATAGAGGACACGATCCAGGACACCGAGGACGATCCAACTGATGACGCTGAGAAGGACCTAGAACCCGGGTTTTTCCAGAGGCTTCCTTTCCAGACGGCTAGAAGGGTTGGAAGATCATATGAGGAGGCGATGGTGTCTGAGGTTCAGGCTTTGGAAGGTCATAGACTGATGTTGCTGGAGGTCGGAGGTTCAGAAGGAAGCACCTTAGGACGTGAGTGTGAAAAGGTGTTTGGAAAGGGTTCCTCACTTCAGCTCTCCTCATGGAACGGTGGGGATCTCGAGACTTCAGAGGGCCAGGATTACATTTTGAGGGTTCTTCGGGAAGAGCGACCTAGGATGGTTTGGTTTAGTCCGGATAGCCAGGCGTACTCTCCTATTCAACGAATGAACTCCCGTACTTCTGATCAAGCCTCGAGGCTCCAGGCCAAAAGAGAGAGAGCTGATCGGCAATATGAAGGTGTGTCTAGACTCTTTCGGGCAGCCAATTCGGCGGGATCTATCTGTGTTCTGGGAAGTCCCGAGTGCTGCGAGCTCTGGCAACAGGAATGGTATCAAACCTTGTCTAAGGAGTTTGAGCTTTATGAGGGTTTTTGCCAAGGCTGCCAGGTGAATAAAAGGAGTAGCCAGGGAATGCTTCAGTGTTCAGGTTGGAGATTAGCTAGCAAGGATGGAGCGTTGATTCAGAACATGTCCTTGCAGTGTGATCAGAAGCATGCGAGAAGTAGAGAAACTAGGCACCCTCGGTTTGAAACCATGCCGTATACCAATGAGTTTGCACGCCGGATTGCCCGATACCTGGAGCGACAGCAGAGTTGGTTTGAGACTGCACGAAGTTTACAGAGTACTACGGAGGATTGCTTTGCAGCATCTGATGCTGCACCAGGCTCTGAGGAGACTCCTTCGGAGGGCATTCAGGACATTCCCCGGGAGACGCGGAAGCGCATTTTCCAGAATCTGCGCAAGATTCACACTGCCACAGGTCACTGTAGTCTGCAATACCTGACGGCGAATTTAAAGCGTAGAGGGGCGAGTAAGGATGTCCTTAGATGTGCTCAACAGTTCCAGTGTGATGTGTGTGATGAACGTCGGCGGCCCTATCCTAGGAACCAAGCTACGCTTCATGAACTTGTTCCAAAATGGCACACTCTTCAATGCGATGCTTTTTCGTGGAATCATCCTGATGGGCAAACCAAATGGCAGTTCATGCTGGGAATTGATGAGGGAAGTAGGTTGCGAGTTGGGCGATTGTTGTTTCAGCATCAGACCCGCACCCCAAGTATGCAAGATTTCTTGGACTTCTTTGAGGGCCATTGGCTTCCCCATTTCGGAAAACCCCAAGTGTTGCGGTTGGATCCTGCAGGATGTTTCAGAAGCAATCAGCTTGATAAGTACCTCGCGGAACGGACCATTGAGGTTCAGCACATCCCAGCTGAGGCTCACTGGCAGAACTCTTTGGTGGAGCGGTCAGTGCAAACAGTCAAAGAGATGATGTCTGCTTTGGTGTCAGAGCAGCCAACCATGACAGCTTCGGAAGCGTTCTATAGGTCTTTGTGGGCATGCAACAATCGGGACCAGTACCATGGATATAGTCCTCTTCAGCATGCTTTTGGAAGGGCGCCTGATGAGTTGGGACATTTGGGAGAGAGTGTTCTCAAGGATATTCCGATCCTTACAGAGCATGGTGTGTCAGCTGAGTTTGGAACTGATGTGAAGGCAATGATGACAGCTGAACAAGCATTCCTGAAGGAGCAAGCCAAGGAACGTCTGCGACGAGCAGAGTTGTCTGGCAACAGGCCCATGAAGAACGTGAGCCCAGGAGACTTGGTCTACGTGTGGCGCCGTATGACACCGCGCCAGGACGGTCAGCGACATTTCAAAGGAGGGAAGTTTGTGGGTCCCTACAGGGTTCTTGCTACGGAGACTAGACAGGAACAGGAAGAGGTGAGAGCTGGTCACATTGTTTGGTTGTATCGTGGGGGCCAATTGTTGAAAGCCACGCCTCAACAGCTTCGACCCGCAACTTCTAGAGAAGAGGCTTGGGCTGAGCTTGAAGGTTCCAGCGAGATCCCTTGGACGTTGTCGTCAACCCTTCAAAAGAATCCTCCCCATCAATATGAAGATGTCACTCAGGATGGTGTGGATATGCCTGAGATGCGGTTGGATGAAATCATGGAGGAGCGTGAACCTCCTCCCAGGGTGATGCGTAGGATGACGACGAAACAGAGACCCCATGAGGCAACTGAGGCTCGAAGTAGGAGTCCCCCAAACAGGAATTCCGAACCCTCTGAACCAATGCCCAGAAATCCCGAACCCGAAGCAAGTGCGAGCAGCCGACAAAACGAAGCCAGGAGCCGAAGTCCTCTAACCCGAGGACGTCCCGTGAGAGTGCCCAATCCCTTGAGCACCACTGACTTCTTGGAGGATGCAGGCGTAGTGTTCCCGGAGGACGATTCGTCCTTCTGGAAGGACACAGATGCTGCAGTGACCCTGTCATTGGAGCTTCCACGTGTAGATACTAAGAAAGGCAAAGAGTGGGTTCGCGATTTGGGATGCTACTTTGTCAAACAACTTCGAAAGAACGCTGTGGAGGTTTCAGAGAAACGACTGACTGAAGAAGAACGCGCGGCTTTCAAGGGAGCAAAACAGAAGGAGGTGAAGAACTTTGTGGTTGCAAAGGCTTTCCAGAAGCTTCCTGCCCATCTTCAGCCAAGTAAAGAACAGATCCTCAAGATGCGATGGTTGTTGACCTGGAAGTTAGATGAGGAAACCAAGGATACCCCTCCCGTGAAGCGAGATGCCACAGGAAATCCTCTTAAGGCCAAGGCACGCGCAGTCGTTCTGGGCTATATGGATCCGGAGTATGAGCACAGACCAACAAGCAGTCCAACGATGGCCAGGACTACCAGACAGTTGTTTCTTCAGCAATGCGCAAACCATTCCTTTGAAGTTGAGAAGGGTGATATAAGTGGGGCTTTTCTTCAAGGGGATAACTTCGGACCTGAACGGCCTATGGTGTGCGAGCCCCTTCCGGAGATCTGTGAAGCTTTGGGTGTACCACCTGGCAGTGCGATGCTTTTGACAAAGGCTGCGTATGGTTTGGTTGAGGCTCCCATTCAATGGTATTTGAGTGTTGCCCGGTTTCTGGAGTCCATTGGTGGCGAACGACAGTTTTCTGATCCGGCCTGCTGGGGATTCTTCAGAAAGGACAGGACACCTATAGGTTGGGTGTGTGGTCACGTGGACGATTTCCTGTTCGGTGGTGGTTCAAAGGATCCTGAATGGCAACGGATTAAGCAGTTGATCAAGGAGAGGTTCAAGTGGGGCCAATGGGAGAGTAAAAAGTTCACTCAGTGTGGTGTTCTTGTGGAGCAGGATGTGACAGGTTTCTCATTGAGTCAACCAGAGTATTTGTCAGGCGTGAATGAGATTCATGTTAGCCGTTCCCGATGGCAACAACCAAACGACCCCATCACGGCGTATGAGTTACAACAACTTCGTAGCGTTCTCGGAGCTTTATCGTGGCATGCCAATCAAGTTGCCCCTCAATGGTGCGCTCCCGTAGGACTTCTTCTGTCAAAGATACACACTGGAGTGGTAACCGATATCCTGGAAACCAACAAACTTCTTCGCAAGGCCAAGTTGGGACAACATCAGAAGATGCGCATTCACGCGCAGACCGAGGAATCAATCCTGGCATGTTGGGTCGATGCGGCAGATGGACACAGACCTGATGGAGGTTCCACAAAAGGAATCGTGATCGGATGGGCACCGAGGCGGTTGCTATCCGGAGCCTTGGTTCGCACCAGCCCTATCTACTGGCAGTCTGCTAAAATCCAACGAATGTGTAGGAGTAGCGGGGCCGCCGAAACTCATGCTGCTGTGGATGCGGATGATGAGCTGTATGCTGTGAGATTCCAAACCTTCGAGTTTCAAGGAGGTCAAGTTCCGCTGTGGAATTGTGATGATGCTGTGAAGAGTGTCGAGGGAGTCCTGATCAGCGACAGTAAGGTGTTGTACGACAGACTTCAACAAACCGTGTTGACTTTGAAGGGAGCTGAGAAGCGAGCCGACATAGCGTCTCTGTGTTTAAAGGAGAGCATGGAATCCACAGGGTTACATCTGCGCTGGGTGAATGGGGATAGCCAATTGGCAAACTCCTTAACCAAAGACAATGAGCTTCATCAGTACTTTGAGTTTCTTCGTAGAGACGGACAGTGGCGCATCGTGTATGATCCCGAGCTCTTATCTGGCAGAAAGCGCAAGCAGTTAGGCCTTAATGCTTTACAGACCAAGCTGGCAGAGTGAATCCCACGTCTTGAGAAATTTAAAATTTCTGGGGGCGTGCAAGCTTGAAAGCTTGAGCCGCTCGCAGACTCGTTCCGGTTGCAAGCACCTTTCGGTCCGAGCTGAGTGGAAAAAGGCAGGACCTCCGCGGTGCAGCGCCAGGGTGTGCTACCTCGTTTGCAACCCTAAACCCAAAGCCTAGACCCTCTAGACCCTGAAGCGTAGGCTTTCAAGGGTTTCTGTCAGGCTCCCTTCAGAAACCCGCAGCCCTAGGCTCCATCAACCCCGGGCATGTGAACGACCATCGTCCGGCCGGGTTGAGGCTCAATTGGGTTCTTACTGGAGGTTCCCACGTAGTTATAAGTAGGGTTCCTTTAAGGGTCCCTTTGAAGGGATCTATAGGCATTCTATAAGGGAATAGGGTCTAGGGCCTACTTCGAGGTTCCTGGGTAGTTATAAGTGGGGTTATTTAAGCAAGCTAACTATAGTTATAACTCAGATTAGGGGACTTACAACCCCACTTACAACTACTCATGAACCTCCAAGTAGGGTTTTCGAGGTTTTAGTCGAAATGTGTTCTTTAATGTGCTTTGAGGGCCTTGTAGGTTATCTTTAGAGAAGACTTGATCGGTATAGGGCCTGGGTTTTTTTAGAATTTGAGGCTTTAGGGTTTGGGTCTGCTGCTTCGACTGAAACTGAATGGCTTTTGCTTCGCATGAAGGCATAGCTCTACACCCCCGCCTCTCAAAAAGGTCCCACAGAACCCAAACCGCTGCGTGTCTTAGTCCCTCCGTTCTAGAATCTACCCTTCAACCCTGAAGCCCTAAACTCTAAAGCCCTAAAGCTCAAACCCTAAACTCTTTAAACCAAAAGGAGCCCTAATGCCCTGAAGCCCCCAAGAGCAAGGAGACTTCCGGAAGCCACGCAGGCAGTATTTCCAGCGTGAGCAGTCCATGCCGGAGCTGATCCGCTTCTGGGAAGGCCCATTTTGGTGAGGTTTCGGCTTCAGGGGTTTTGGAAGATGGGTTGAGGGCTTAAGGGCTGAGTTGAGGTTCCGAGGAGCTTCAGTGGGCTTCGGATTGAGGCTTTAGAGATCAGGGTTTAGGGATCAGGGTTTAGGGTTTAGGGATCAGGGTTCAGGGTTTAGGGATTAGGGTTTAGGGATCAGGGTTTAGGGATCAGGGTTTAGGGTTTAGGGATCATGGTTTAGGGTTTAGGGATCAGGGTTTAGGGTTTAGGGATTAGGGTTTAGGGATCAGGGTTTAGGGATCAGGGTTTAGGGTTTAGGGATCATGGTTTAGGGTTTAGGGATCAGGGTTTAGGGTTTAGGGATTAGGGTTTAGGGATCAGGGTTTAGGGAAGCCCCAACCTCGCAGCTCGGGTCAAGCCTGCTCTTGTTTCCAGCCGAGACTTCACTTGAAGGATCATGTGACATAGTCACAAAGGTTATAGGAAATGATACCATATGTATACAAGCACGTATAGCTCCAACCTTCATGACCCTGCTGTGCTTACGAATTCCTTTTCTGATCCTCCAAGTAAACCGTAAATCTGCAACGCCGGCAAGCAAGCTCCCACAATGTCAGGGCACGGCGGCTCGACGTTTCGGAGACCCGTCTCTAGTGAAATAAGACGTCTTTCGGTCGGAGAGGGGTCAGGATTTAAGGTTCAGGGCTTAAGCAGACAAGGTTAAGTTCGGAATGGGTTTGTTAAAGTCTTGGGAGCCTTTGTGATGCGGGGTTTGGGGTTTCAGTTTGTGGTGATGTGGTGTGTTGTCGTGATTTTGAAGGCTGGTGCTCTGAGAGTCAATTGTCCTGCTCCGAGTGCTGGCGTTACCTACACTCGTCAACAGCGTTCTGCAATTGCTGCGTCCATGAACTGATTGAGGACTGGCAACCATGTGGAATCAGAATGAGCCTCTTTAATTCTAGCCATTGTTCCTTAGGGTTCCCTCGTCTCAGTTTTGCTTTGAAGGCTTTGGGCTACGAATCTTCAAACTTCGTTACGAAATACATGGGTGTAATCTAGCAGCCAGAATAGTTATCAATACTGTTCCATAGGGTCCCTCGTTATCTACATAAACCCTAAAACCCTAACCAACTTATGGCTATACTGCACCATGCCCCAGATCCTGTCCTTTGTTTCGAGGCTCCTCTTGCATGGCGTTTCCCCGCAACCCTACACCGAAGCTATGAACTCGAGGCTCCCAACACCACTTAAGCCTCCCAAGTTCCCCGCCATCCCCCACCTTAAATTTACGGCTGAGGGTGTAAAGTTTGTGGTTTAGAACGAAAAACTTGGAGAAGCAACTCTGCCCATGCCCCCCTAAACGGCACTCTAAAGGTGTGACAGAGGCCTCTGAAGCTGTCTATCCCCCCCAGCACCTTTCCCAAACCTGTTTCAAACATCCAAACAACGCAAAAACCTATCTACATCACCAAGCCTTAGAACTTCATATCGCAAAGCTAGAGTACCTATATGGTATGCTCGCATATCTAAATTACGAGTTCGGTTCATGATATGTTAGATTACCGATGTTCTGTGTTTTGAATTTACAAAGTTCTTAATGCCGGACCGAGGAAGCACCTGGATGCCATGAAGTCGCCAGCTGCTACAGCTCCTCCCTGCAAGCTCTTCCCGAAGTCGCTGTCAAGCGGGGGAGGCTGCTGGGTTGTGGGTTTTGGGGGATTAAGGGATTTAGGGTATTTTGGGGGGTTCAGGGATTTAGGTTTTTTTTTGGGGGTTAAGGGATTTAGGTTGTTTGGGGGCGTGGCAGCTGCAAGACTTGCGAAACTGAAGCTGCTTCGAGAGTTATTGTGCTACTTCGGGCCTCTTTTGTGATAAGGCCGTAAGTCTGCGACTTGTGATGATGTGAACAGGTTCGGGGTTTCGGGTTCAGTGATTTAGGCTTGCAGCACCCGGTTAAGCCTTGAGCTTCAAGCCGTGAACGGCCCTGCGCCCTCTACTCTAAAGCGTCTGCCCTGAATATCTCGTGGGCACGGGTTCGTAGCCCCCAAGCCCTGAGGCATGAAGCAGTAACAAAGAAGTCGGGAAGAGTATCAATCGTATGCTGGTATAACCCCTTCAAAACGTATGTTGTCTCGAACACCTACTCCAGTTGCTAAGGCCACTCCGAATATTGTTGGTAGTATTACGAGTATTGCCAGCATTGCTTTCATTACAAAGGCTACTATTGGTATTAGTACTACTACTACTACTACTACTACTACTACTACTACTACTACTACTACTACTACTACTACTACTACTACTACTACTACTACTACTACTACTAGTAATATTGGTATTCCTGGCATTGGTATGTTGATTATCATCGCTATGATTATTGGTGTTCCTTCAGCATTATCATCATTACCACACATTAGCACGCTCATTGCTTTTGTTAATGTTGTCTCTGACTTTTCTAGTTCTATTCTTATTGTCGTTATTGCTATTAGAATTGTCGTTATCAGTGCCAATTTAGGAATTATTCGTTTATTATTCGTATTTCAACTAGTATTCTTGTTGTTACAAGTCTCACTTACTAGTACTACAATTATGGTTAGCGTTACTTCCATTAATTCCCGAGTACAATTATTAGTATTGCTTTTTCTGTTATTATTGTTATTCGCATGAGTAGTGTTGCTATAACCCTTTTGAATCTGGTGCTATCATTTTTATTATGGGTATGGTTTCTTTTATATGTTACTTCGACTATTATTGTTTCGATTTTTCACCATCATCATCATCATCAACAACAACATCATATATACATATATGTATATACACCTACATACATATCGCATACCCTCTTTGAGCACTCGAGGCGGCCCTATGACAATGCCACAACGGCACTCGCCTGGCGGTTCCATGCGAGATCTGCTCACTGGGGAAGCAGCTTTGCTGCAGAGCCAACTGCGATGTAGTCTTCATAGGGGGCAATCAGAGTTACAGGGATGGAGCGAGAAAGTTAGAAGGCGGGCTTCGGGCCCTAATTTGTGTCGGGCCGTAATTACGATGATCTAGGCTTAATTAAGCCCAATCATCATTTGCTCTTGGGGGTCATGAAGAGTTGCAGCTCTTCTACACCAGTACCTGGTCGCCGTCGTCTCCTTCCGTCGTATTCGTGGTCGCGGTGATGGTCGCGATTGAGGTTGTCGTCCCCCTCGCCCTCAGCTTGTAGCGTAGCAGCACCGGAGGCAAACAACCAGCAACGCCGTTACGCGTTACGAGATCAGCAGCATTACGAGCAACGACAGCACAGGAAGCAACCACAGTCGCGGCAGCCACAACGACAGCCGCAATGACAGATGCAAGAGCAACAGCAACACCCCGCGTGATGTTGCTCGTGCCGCTCACCAAGCTGAAGATCACTGCAATACAAACCTGGTAGAAGTTGATCCGTGCGCTCTATTCCCGGGCAGGTAGTGGCCTGGCATGCTACTCGGCTCCCTGTTTCGGCAGCTTCTGCTTCGTTTTGTTGCCCGAAACGCTAAGTCCTACACCCCCTTTCCGGAAATATCGAATGCATGTGTCGTTCGGGCCCTAAGCCGGTGCTTCGTCGGGGCAGAATCCTCGGCAGAAAGGACGACAGGGGAAAAGCATTATGACTTTGAAATCTTCATGCGAGCAGCCTTTTGCAGTAGCCACCAAGCATCACAGTGTACCGAGGGCCGTGAATCAGGTGGTTATATGTGACTTATACCTCCAGTTATTGTACAAGTACGCCGATGTACTTACTAAAGAGAGAGAGTAGACTGGAGTATAATGAGGGTTCTCCTTCAAGCAAATGGTCTAAGTTTTCGTGTTAAAACCCTACAGATTTAGGGTTTCGGCTTCAGGGGTTTAGAGGTTTACCTATGTAAACCCTAAGCCCTAATCTTGCGGGGTTAATTTTTAGGATGGTCTAGGGTTTTGATCTCCATGTTGCGGGCCACATGAGGACTATTGGACGCCTCCTGCTCGATACAGGCTCTTTTGAACCTGCTTCGAGGGATGCTATAAACTTCAGCTTACAAGAG